ATAATCATATAAATGTTAATCGATCATCAGATAATGATCAACAACGAATTTTATGTATTCGAGTAGAAAATAACGAAGCAGCCGAATCTATTCAAGATTTATTAGTGAAACATGCATCAATTTTTAGAGATATTCGAATTATTGATTTAAAAGAACTTATACAATTTATTCAATCACGAACCACAACAACAACAAATATAACTTATGAAGATGCTTCGACAATGACAAATATTGATCATATGTGTCATCAAATAACATCTTGTGCTAGTTTTATTACACAAAATGAGAATGTACGTCGTTTGAAAGCATTAGAATACATTCGAATATTTCTTGAAATGAACAAAGAAGAATTTTTTAATTATCTTATCAATGAAGAACATCTTTGTCAACAAAAAACATTGACTATCTATCAAATGATAAAACTATTTCTTAAAGCTATTTATCAATCAGAACATGAACAGAAACAAACTAATATCGGTTTCAAAATAAAAAAAAGGGTGAGTATTTTTAGAATAACTTTTGATAGGAACAAGATAGGGAGCTGCGGTTCTCACCGTTGGAAAGAGGCGATGAAACTGCATCGATTCGTATATTTCAGATTTTTTTCTGACAAGTATTTTAAGGGTTCCTCGACAAGTTTTCAAAAGACAAAGCGTTATATAATGTAAATATTATGGACTTTTAATTTTCAGGAGGGCACTAGAATCACTAACTAAAGACCTATCAGCTATACAAGCCCGACGTTATTATCTTTAGCTAATCATGAGTTATGAACACGTTACTGTGTGTTGTCGGTCAATTTTTAACGAAAAAATCCTTTTTTTTCCTTAGTTTTTAATAAAAAATCAATTTCTTCTACGTCTAAAATCTTTGAGTTTTTAAAAAACTTCTTGGGAAGACCTTTAAAATACTTGTCAGAAAAAATCTGAAATACACGAATCGATGCAGTTTCATCGCCTCTTTCCAACGGTGAGAACCGCAGCTCCCTATCTTGTTCCTATCAAAAGTTTTTCTAAAAATACTCACCCTTTTTTTATTTTGAAACCGATATTAGTATTGCAGATTAAGTTGAATGATTATCTATTGTAAATACGAATATATATTTAGAGACTTATATCTAAAAACATTTACACACGAGATTTGAGACAAAAAATCAGTATATAAGATCTTGAATAGTATTGATGTGTAAATTCTTGGCGAAGATTTAACTTGTGATATGACCACTTATATATTCATACGACAGGATCTTCTCTTTCTTTGTAATAATCGTCAGTGCTCAACCTCAATTTTTTCTAAAATAAGACAGATCGTTTCCTTTGGCGATTGATCATCTTTATAAAACAATTTTCATCTGTTAGAGAATTTTTACTTACGTATTTTGTATTGGTACAATGAAGGTGAAAAAAGTCATTTCACTTCAATATTCGACTGTTCTTTGATATAATCGTCTTTTTCACCATCCCAATAAAATAAAGTCATCATAAAAGGATAGTCTCGAAATTACTTCATTGGTAAACTTTGTTCGTTTACAGTGCAAAATCTTCGTTTCATTGTTAGAATCTAATTAGTCAAAAAAATGATTATGTGTTATATGTGTATCATATTTATTTATCGACATGTCATAAAAGAAATATTTCAAAATTTCTCATCTTTTTTATCATTAGTTTTATTTCGATACATCACTATATGCCATAAGGGTCTATTTGGATTTTTTGATATAACTTCTATTCGATCAGGTTCAAGTAATTGTTCACGATCA